ACAACGTAATTACAAATTTTAAAAATGTGAAATCAGAGTATATCTTGTTCCATGTTCAAAAGTAGGATATTCATCAGTGCAATTTTATGTTGCAATAGTTTAATATTTGATTACACGTTTGTATGATCAAAGTGTTACAAAATACCAAGAACTTATTCAAATTTAGGGTCAGCAAATGTGGTGTTTGCTTGTAGTTTTTGTAATGGGAATGCTAATACTCCTATTGAAGAATATCACCAACGGTTTCCATATCACAGATGTCCTAATAAACATATATTAATCAGATTTTTCAGCAAACTGTGCGAAACCGAAAAATTTCCCAGTGCTAGTATAACGTCTGAACGAGCAATTGGGTTATTGGGCATTCCACAAAAAAAGAGTAATAGAAACCCTTCACGATCAAAGCTTATATCCGTACCATGTACAGAGTGATTCACTATATTTTGACCCCCCATTAACTTATTTGTTTCAAGAGTTATAAAAAATGTGAAATACAAAAGTTGTACGATTTTTTATAAACAAAATGGCCGCGGATGTTAACTTTAAACGGAACACCTTGTATATTTTTGCATATTTGGATAGAACGTTCCTTGTCGAGCATAGTCAAACAGGGTTTGGTTGGGTCCATCTCTAACAATAAGTGAGATAGGTAATATTAAAAAACGAAAAGGTTTTTTATTAAGAAAATAAGACATCTTGTAATTGTTAGACCTGTTTCAGGTATTTCTGCCTTATTTCCAATTACGTAAGGATTTAAATTTAGTTAGTAATATATTTTAACATATCGGACATTGATATAGTCCAAAATGCATATAGGTATTTTAACTAAATCTCACTAATTAGGCCGTGAGAGGCCTAATAATTACTCATGGACAATGTTATATGGTAGGCCGTGACAGTGACAGGTTATATTGTTATTGTTAATTAAAATGGCTTACAGAGAAATAGAAAATTGAAATATTGTAAATTAAAATTCTCCATATTCTATTTTAATTCCTTATATTATTTCCATTTTCTACTTCTGTGTAACTCATTTTAATTAAATAAAAATACAAACTGTCAATGTTATCATGACATTACTACCTGTCAGTCCCGACCTGCCATATAACACTGCCCATGAGTAAATAGGCCTCTCACGGCCTAATTAGTGAGATTTATTGTTAGTTAAAATACCTATAGGCATTTTGGACCGTATCAATGTGCGATATGTCAAAATATTACAATAAATCTGTAAATATTTACATAATTGGAAAAAAGGCAGGAATGCCTAAAAGAGGTCTAACAGTTACAAAATGTCTTATTTTCTTAATAAAAAACCTTCTTTTCGGTTTTTAATATTATCTCGTTTATTGTTAGAGGTGGATACAACAAACCCTATATTACTATACTAGACAGAGAACGTTCTATCCAAATATGTAAAAATATACAGGGTGTTCAATTTAAATGAACAAAGTTAACATCCGCGGCTATTTTGTTTGGACTTCGAAAACTTCATAAAACATCGTGCAACTTTTGTATTTCACATTTTTATTATAACTCTTAAAACAAAAAAGTTCAAGGGGGAGTCAAAATTTATTGAATCACCCTGTACAGAGAGTACAACACTTATAACCGGAAAATTATGCTAAACCTATCAAGTGTTGTCGATCTTTCATTTTGAAGAATCAACTCACAGGGGACCACTACATTTTTTTACAAAATGAATTACAAGATGTTAATAAAGATGTAATAAAGACTGCGAATGTGCTACCAGCAAGATGGACGCCCATTTTGCTTGACCAGTCAAGCTACATTTGAACGAGAGATTTCCAAGGCTTTGGATTGGTCGTGGTGGTCCAGTTAGTTGGGCTCCAGGATCTCCAGACATCACAGCATTAGATTACTGTTTATGGTTAAAAAATGATGTGTAAAAAGTTAGAATGAACATTCGGGAGGCACTAATTCGACGTATCATCAACACTACAGCATTTACAAAAATAAAGACATGCAGCAATCAGGAGAGCTACAGAAGCCCTTCATAGACGAAGCAGAAAGTGTTTAGAGGTCAATGGTGGTGTTTTTGAACGTTTAAACAAAGAAAGCTATGATTGATAGAATATCAATAAATTCAATTTTTTATTGAAATCTACGTCATAGCTTGAAAACAAATGAAAATCGCATAACAACATTTGAGTTTTATTATTATTTTGACTTGTAGAATCCATTCCTGGAGTTTGGTGCGATCATCCCGACTCACCCTATATAAGTAGGACTGACGAAATTTTGAGATTCTTTTAAAAAACATATAATTAATTTTATTCTTCTTCCTTGAATTAATAAATAAATAAATTTAAAAAATTTCAAATTCATTTAACTCTTCATCAATAATTTTTCATTGTTGTTGTTTTGATATATGAAATAACAAATAACCTTAACAACCTTATATCACAGTAGACAAAATATTTTTGTTTTGAATTACATCATTTCTGCTTTTATTTGAATCAAAACAATCAAATCAGAAATGATAACCTATAGTTTTTAATCGATTCATTTTAATGTTTACATTTTTTCTACTTCAGCCAGCTGCAACGTTGTGTCTTGCAGCCAGTGGTGCCGGAACGATGGGCATTTTGGTGGTTACTGCACTGGAGGAAGTTTGGAAAGTTGTCACTGTTACGACGTTGGTCACGGGAATCAGTGAAATTTTTGTTTTTGGAGAGGAAGGCTGTGAAATTTATAAAAACCCATTTTGAATTATACGATTATGTATACATATTTACCAAAAATAATTAAAGGTTTTGATAAAAAAAATGGCGATAATTTATTTGTGTAACAAATATTTTTTGACGTAACGTAGTTCTACTCTCTAAACATATTTAGTGAAAAATCTTGCTTGAAACTAGCAGACAACTTTAGTTTTTTGAAAATATCAAATATTTATTGTTATCTAGTATATTTAATACATAAATTAATTATTTTCCAAAATTTTATGACAATCAAAATAGAACAGAAATTTATTTTCGTTACTATAAGAATATTTATTTTCGAAAATTAAATATTTANGCGCCTTCCGGTCAATTAAAAATAGATACACACAATGTAGGGATTCCTTATGACGATCACATGTTTTTGGCCACAACTACGTTTACTTATTTTTTGTCGAACCTAGGGTTGTTATATTACAGTTTAAAAAATTTGACTCACTGAGAAACCTTTCTGTCTTTGCATTTTTTCATTAAAATGTTCCGTTTCATTTTAGTAATAAAAAAATAATATAAGTTTAAGTTATGAACTTATAATATTCGCGATTGCTAGATAAATGCGCCATTTTCAAAACAAAACTTGGAAATACGGCTATTAAATGTAGGTACTCTCGAAAAACAGCACAGTAATCACTACAACAATGACTGACTTTCGAATACAGTCCGGCTTCATAAGAAATCTACAAAATCGTAAAAACAGAATTTTTTGTAAGTACCTACTCGCCGCGATAAAATACATTTCAGCAGTTCCAAAACAGTTTTAAACACATTTTTAATTAGCTAGCTTTATTCTCTATGACCTTAAACTTCCGATACAAGTTTGTGACATCAATTAACTCAGTTTTGCTCTTTTTTCGCCCCTTTAAATTATTGGCATAAGTTCATTAACACCCTGTATTTATAAAAATTGTTAGAACTTCATTACAAGCATCGATTGTTACGTTAAAAAATTCCCGGAGTTTGTCGAATTGTCCCACCAGACACGATAATGAGATTTCGTAATTCTTCCATTAGAGTCGTATAAACCAATAATAACATACCACAAGAAAAAGGATCGTCAATAATAAAAATTGATATTATTATTGGTTAAAAAGTGCTGTTACTACCAACGATTTACATTGTTATTATTTTAAATTAAATATCAACTTGGATTTAGTGAAACTAAATTTAATCCTTTCCTAACTGAATGTAATCCTATTGACTACTATTTTTACTTGAAGATAATTATTTTAAAATATATTTTGAATCCTCCTAACATTGCTCAATGTTATGACATGTTATATACATTGTATACCAATATTTCTCTCGACAAAAGTAAAGTTCGACAACGTGAGATTCAACTACAAAGATTATATAAATGTATTTACTGGAAAAACTGAATTATTAATATTAAACATGTAATATTAATGATACGGGGTGAATATAACCTACAAAGTATGTCATTGCTGCTCAACGTCTACTGGCACAAAACATTGCTTTGTATGCACTTTGAATTAATGATTGGAACGAATCATGTGATTCCAAAACAAACATTTACTTCTAGTAAATAAATCTAAATTAAACATTACTGTACTACCTAATGCACAATTGCGAACAGTCAACAAAGCATGTAGAGTAGAACAGCATCAACCACTACTGTGCATGCATGATGTAATGTTTCAATCCGAATGAAATTTTTAAATTTTGTCTTTTTACGTACATGAAAATGTGCAATTATACCGTTTTGTGCAAAACCGTACTTATCTTATGAACTTCGACGTCACCTGTTACATAGGTGTTGTATAACAATGAAAAAGTAATATTAACGGTCGNTGAAATCTTGAAGCTCGCTCGAAGGGTGGAATACGACAGCCTGGCTGCTAATTCGTCGCCGTTAGCAAGACCATAAACTAAGTCCACAGAAAAAAGGATCGTCAACAATTAAAATTGACATTATTATTGGTTACAAAGTGCTGTTACTATCAACGATTTACATTGTTATTTTTTCAAATTAATTTTTACTTGAAGATAATTATTTTAAAATATATTTTGAATCCTCCTAACATTGCTTAATGTTATAACATGTTATATACTTTGTATACTAATTTTCTCTCGACAAAAATAAAGTTCGACAGCGTGAGATTCAACAAACAGCGAATTTCTAGTACCTGATAAGAAAATAGGTTAATTAAAGAGAAAAACAATCACTTCACTATTTACAAAAGTTAACGCTTTTTAATATGCAATAACGGAAATGATTGATAAAGAACGCGGGGATTTTCTGTTATCGCCATTTCGTCTTATAAAAAGACCAACAGCATAAAAGGTCTTTGAATGTGAGAAAATATTCTCTTCAACATGAAAGTGGCAATAGTTTTTTTCCTGGCTTTTGCCCTTATTATGGCAATTGCTACCGCAGGTCCAGTCGTTATCGGAGTAAAGGGTAAGTTAGACCTTTAAGTTTAGATTTAAAGTTAGATACTTCTTGAAATATAGAATATATCCAGCGTTTCTTAGAAACATGCTCCACTGCTTGTGGGAGAATCCCGACTCAAAAGTGAGACAAATAGTTTGCGTCTATAAGGGTTCATTTTTGCTATGTTTCCGTGGTACAGTGTGTTCAAGTTTCTTATTTATTCGGATTTTATACTCCCAATAAAAATACTGAAAATTATTGAAAATAGTACGTACCAGAATTATACGTAGCAAGGGTTTAGTTTGGCATAAAAATATATTCTTAAATAAAAGTTACCTCTTGACATCTTTTTTTTAAATATACCTCCCTTATAAAGATAAAAATATTTTTATTATGTGAGACATTTAATATAATCATTTTTCTTAGCAGTTGTAAAACTGGTCTGGTTTGAAAATTATTGCCTATTACCAAATTACTGTATTAGCTTAGAGAAACATTGAAAAGCCTTGTACATCTATCGCGAAAATATTAACCCCACAATTTTCGAATGTGTGTTCCTCAGAAAAGTATCTCAAAAATACAATTAATTCCATATTTTATCATGATCATTCAAAGTATTAGAAATACATATATACAGTGCGTCCCTAAATTATGGCGCCAATTTAAATAGACCGAAAATCTGGCACATGTATTTAAATATTTTGACGCAGATTGGTAAAACTTGAGCTAATAACAATATAGGGTGCTTCACAAACGGTGATAAAAAATGAAACCTCATATTCTTTTTGAATTTTAAGTCTTTCCTATAAAGTTTTTATCTAGGACGTTTCGTTAAAAAGATACAGGGTGTTAAACTTAAAAAAGTATTTTTATTTTTTTTTAATAATTCAAAAACTAGTAAGTGAAATAATTTGATATTGGGCACGTGTATTTATGTAAATATTGTCCAAAATCTGAGACCTTTTTCTAAAATTTAGATGCTTCAGTGGTGGAGATACAGGATATCGGTGGCATATTCTTCTAAATAAAATAGTATGTTACTGCTTTAAGGCAATAATCATGATATTTTTGGATTCATCTTTCAATTTTCTACAAATTACTACTCTCTTATATTTTTCGAAAAAAGCCTGATTTTCGAGTAAAACTTAAGAACTAACTGAAGAAAATAATAATATTAGTCATCATTTTAATGATTTTATTTGAATAAATACTCCAAAATACCTCCATTTCCATGAACACAGACACGACATCTTTTTAGTAACGAAAATATAATTTCTTCGAAATTTATTGTTGCTTGAATCTAATGAAAAGCATTATTTATTCTTTCTTCTATCTGCTCAGGTGTATTAATTTTTTCACTGTATACCAGCCGTTTAACAGCACCCCACAAAAAGAAATCCATTTTAGAAAAAGGACTCAGATTTTGGACAACCTTTACATCAATAGATGCGTGCCCAATTTCAAATTATTTCACTTACTAGTTGTTAAATTAAAAAAATAATAAAAATATTTTTAACACCCTGTATATTTTTAAACGAAGTGTCCTAGATAAAAACCTTATAGGAAAGACACCCCTTAAAATTCAAAGAAATACAAGGTTTCATTTTTGGTCACCATTTGTGAATCACCCTGTATATGCTGAAGAATAGTAGCATCGTTTAAAATCGTTACATCAACGACTTTGTTGGTTGCATTGTGTTGAATTCGTATTTCTAAGATAAAATTTCGCATTCTACGTTGCAGTTATTTTAAATTTAAAAAAATAGTAACTCAAAAATGTGTTGTTTTTAATCAACCAGAATTAAATGTACTTATCCGATTTACAAATTATTCAGTAGCGTCGTTTTTAATGATGGCGTTTCCCAGTATCTCCGCCACTAGTTGACAAACCAACCCAACAAATTTTTCTCCATAATTAGTTAGGTCATTACCTCAAATTTCATCAGGCTACGTCAAATGTGATAAATTTTTAATTTTCAACACCCTGTATGTCAAAAACAAAAAATATTTTATTGATTTGCGACATAGAATCTACCGTTAATACGTACCAGAATATGTCATTAACACCCTATATGAGCATGTGTATCCAAAAATACAGAGAGTTTCAGAAATTATCCAAAAAAAAATTTTTGATGCACGGGGGAGTCATACAAAAACAATTTTGTAACGAAAAAATCAAAATGGGCAGTTCGAAAATTTTAAAATACATTTCTCTACGGTACTGGAAACTGGTCTACTGTAAAACCTGACCTCGCACAATGCGACCGGCACGGCAAATGTAATAAAATCGGACAAAAACTTGAAAGAATTTCGCAAGGGAAGAAATAAATAGAATTTTATAGCACCTAGCAAATTCAACTGCTTTTGTCGCTATTGTTATTATTAATTATTAAAATTAATTTGTGGTTTTAAATAATAAAATAATTTTACATACCTGATGTTACAATAATCGTTCAAAATTCTATCCACCGACGTGTAAACACATTTGGGTCCGCCTTACTCAGTTTCTACGAACTAACACAAATATTGTCTTATTTCACCACAACACAAATGCTTCACCATAATACAAATGTTGTCTTGCTTCATCATAAATTAAAACGATATCCATCAACTCCGAGTTGCTATACACGCAAGCCATTTTTGACACTAACTACTAAAAAACTATTGTAAACACTATGGCAACGACGATTGTAAAATCGGATTTCAATATTCGCAGTCGCTGAGGCCACGTGGCTCTTCACGCGTATTGCAAATGACGCTAGAGACTACAGTTGTCCAGCTATGTAATGGTTGAAGGTACTACAATAATTATTTTCTCGGAAACTATAAGGATTCTACAAAATTTTTTTTTACAATATTGACTCCATTTCTCATGCAGCATCTATTCGCAAATTTTTGAATAAGTTGTGAATCACCCTGTATTATAATGGTGCACATTATCGATATACCAACGGATAGAACAATTTTTTCTTTTTAAATTTAGATTCACCAGCTATTTATTAAAAAAAAATGTGTAAGTAATAAATTCTAAAAAAATATTTTTACATTTTCAGATGAATGCACTGTGTCTAACTGCAGCAAATACTGTCAACAAATTGGGCGTTTCGGAGGCATTTGCATCGGAAGTTTGTGCCAGTGTTACGATTTATAGTCCAAAATAAACTATTAATATGTACTTAGAAGTTTCTGATTATATAGGTATTTAGTTATGTAATATATACTTTTAAACAAATAATATTGCTTATGGAAGTATATCTAAGGTTTACACAAAATTTACATATACAATAAAAGATTAAAGTTTTCGGCGATTCATTCTCTTTATAACAAGAGGTAGGTATCGGATAATATTTAATTTAGGTATTTAAATATGAAGAAAAGTACGTATCTATGTCATTGAAATAATTTATAAATGGTTTAACATACATTCAAAAATGACCATAAATCCGGAAATATACAGGATGACCCAAAAAGATCCGGACCCCGTCTCCATAACTTTTCAAGATATTTTTCTATTAAAAATGTTTCAGAAAAAATATTTTCCTAATAAATAAAGTTTCAGATAAATGTTGTAGGATATCAAGATTGAGTTTCAAAGTCAAATACTTATCAAAACACTCTATTTTTTAAGCAACCAATCGATAGAGCGCCAAATTCTACCACCGAATATGGGGTGAAAAAAAATTTCTGGTATGAATACATTTTTCCTTGAACAACTCGATAAAATCAAATTGTGGAGAAAAATGTTTCATGCACAGTTTGTAGGATTTTGAATGACAAATTAGATGGTGACCTTGAATTTTATCTAAAACCTTTGTAGGAGGAAAATTTTGATCTCTAAATGACTTGTAAGGATATACCGGAAAAAATACATCTGCCCATTGCTGGCAAATACAAAATAAGGTGTTTCATTCAATATTTTGAAGTTGACCTTGTTTTGACTTTGGAACTTAAGGTCATTATCAAATTCAAGCATATTAGTTTTTTGATATTCTATAACTTTTATCTGAAACTTTTTTGATGAGATTCAATAATGAAAAGTTATCAGAGATTCTCTTCTTTGTTGAACACATTGTATAACAAGTATTTAGGTACTACTTAACTGACAAAAATATAAGTAATATAAATATGTTTTCTTTTTTGTAGCAGCCGCTACAAACCTTTTATCTAAGTTGTTATTACAATTGTATAACGATAATGACGTTATAAACAAACTGACCCAGATCTTTTAAGTTAAAACGAAAAATATCACAATGTTAATGCAAACAACACTAATCATTAAATGCATATAACTTTATTCTTCACTTGAGGTTTATTTGGAATAATTTTACCGACACAAATTTGATAAAAATATTAAAATTAAGTCAATATTTAAAATAAATAAAAATAGATCTTACATCAGATAAAAATATGTAGCTTAAAGAATGTTTCCATATTTAACTAATAGATAAATAAATCACCTATATAAGGAATATGAATCGGATATTTTTTTAATTGCTGTAACGATTATTTAAGACCAGTTTAGTCGGGAGTTATTTTACAGTATTACGCTGTATTCTAAGTGTACAGAAATTTAGTTAAAAAAAAATGATATATGCATTTTTCTTTCTTTTTATGGCTGTTATAGTTATAGCAAGTTATATTAAAGGTATACGTGGATTTATATTTTATTTCACAATAACATTGTCTTTGTATTTGAGGTTTTTTATTGATACATAAATGGGGTTTGGGAATTATGCATCCTGCGGAAGAAAATTAATGAAATAAACCTATGCGCCAAAATGATCAGACAACTTTTTTTATAAAAGACGTTTTTTTATAAATACCCTGTCAAACATCTCACTGAAAAAGTAGACAAATAAAAAATATACATCACAATACAAGGTGTTCCATTTATATTTTAAAAAAGGTGAGCTTCTCTTAAAAAAAATTGTTTAGGTTTATTTTTGGGGAGGATTTTTCTTAATTTATTTCAGAATTGGTTAAAAAAAGTTAAGAGTAAAAATTTCTTAAGCATCCTAGGACTTTACAAATCACAAAGGATAATAAAATATTTGACAACAAATATATTAAATGTCGCATTAAACATATCAAACAATAAAATGGTAAATAGTTTTATTGATTTACAGTAAATTAAAATATACAGGGTGGTCCCGAGGTAATGGGTCAAAATTCATGGGTAAATTCCCGAATCAAAAATATTGCGATTTAACCGAACTTACCTTAACAACTATGAACTTTTGGACTAAGGTCAGTTCGGCTAAATCTCAATATTAGCCGAATTTACCTTATCTTCTTAACTATCAACTTTTGGAGGAAGACAAATTCGGGTAATATTGCGATTTAGCCGAACTTACCTTAGTCCAAAAATTGATAGTTAAGAAGATACAGGGTGTTAAATGTAAAATATTATTTTAGTTTATTTTCATTTATTTCTTAATAAATGCAAATATACACACAAAATTTTGAGGTTTGGGGTAGAGGAATTGAAATTTGTTCACATTTTGGTTATAATTCATAAAAGGCGCTAGTTGCCGTAGATTGAATGTGTTGAAAACGACATAACATTTCTGTACTTTAAGGTATCTAATCTTTGGTATCAAATTCTTATTTTCCAACTTTTTTAACACATAAAAATGTATACTTTATGAAAGTATCTGTTTCGCACCGTTTCCCAGATATTTGGCTTTGAAAGTTCCAATGCTAATAGTTGAAATAATTAAAATAATTTAGAAATGTTAAAAAAGGGTTTATTTAGAATGAAAAATTGTAATGAACGGTAAAATAGGAAACATTAGTAAAAAATATGCCTTTTTTGACAATAATTGCTCAAAATGTCCATCTCTAACTTCAATACATTTATCAACGCGTTTATTTAAAAGATTGTCTTATTTTACAGTATAATGCGAAATGACTGCAGCATTTAAAACCTGCTGACAAAGTTCTTCCCAGGTGTTTATAGTTTCTCCATAAACAACCGATTTCATGTAACACCAAAAAAGAAAGTCTAGGCATTCTATCTCGCATTTATGTACATACATACAATTGTAAGCCAAGATGTAATTTTAATTAGGTAAGAATAATACTTAATGGAAAGCAGCATACAAATTGACAGCAATAAGACAACATACATTTAACACCATGTATCCCTTTAACTATCAACTTTTGGACTAAGGTAAGTTCGACCAAATCGCAATATTTTTGCTTCGGGAATCTATCCATGAATTTTGGCCTATTATCTCAGGACCACCTTGTATATGAAAATTACTAATTTTTTAAGTTTAAGCCTATGTACAATGTTTTAATTTCAACATTTGTTTGTTCAGAGAGTGTAACAACTAATAAAAAAATCGTAACAAGTCACGACATTCAATTAAATATCGATTAATTAGTGATTTTAGTTTCCGCAATTCTGAAAAATCAATTTTTTTTTATTCTAACAGTCAATTGAGGTTACCTTAATTTTGATTAATTTGCTGTCATATTGCACAGTAATTAGTAGCTATTTAGAGACTGTATAAAAATTGCAGAAGGCAAAATACATGAGTAATTAAAATAGGTACATAATTAAAATAAACAAAATATTATAGCAAATACTGCCCGCCTGTTTCTTTTTCTCTAAATCTTCGACCAAGCGCAGTAAAATTACTGGGATGACGAAATTGTCCATAAGGAAACTCTTCCATACATCGCCTGGCTGATGCAAAAGAATTAAATCTACGTATATGCATTCTACATATACCAAATGTATGTCAGCAAATTCATTTAAACAGTACTACTGTCATTGTTGACTCACTATTACAGAAAGACCAATAATTTGTTTACAGTAGTTGGTGTATCTTAAATATAAAAATGTTCAACGATCAAAATTAAACCACATTGAACTTGGGAATTTCAAATATATTTTAACGGATGTTTCAAGTATTTTCGATATTTTTATACAACTAAATGTAATTAACAGTCAATAACAGATAAACCAATTAATTAAAATAGAATCAATTTATTGAAGTGCATGTTCAACAGATTTAGAAGCATACTTAAGTTAAAATTATGTATTTGGTCCTATTTAATAAACTTCCATTACACTATACAATTGCAGATATTAAGACGACAAAATCCACTCTTATGTCCTTCTGCCCTGCATGACTGTTTGCAACCTAAGGGGATGCACACACCCTCTCCATATTTAGCGGTGAGCTTCTCCACAACCTGGTCTGAAAATAAAAAATTGCGATTCTCAGTAATAAAAATGGAAAGAAATTTTTAATAAGGTTCTCTTCTTTCTACAAAAACAGTTATCGTTTGTCTTCTTTTTTAAGATTTATAATTTATTCGTTTCAGTGAAAAGCCAAACACTCAACATATTTTTAGAGCATTATATTAACAATTAGTAGAAACTTTAATTTTTAATTTATCTTTCTAATATTAGCTCACGTTAATAGAAATAAGAACTTTAGAGTTTTTAACAAATTGAATAAAATTTAAATTATTACAGTAAAATTTACCTGGTGTTAAATCTCCTTCTTGTGCCTGCTGGCAAAAAGCAATGGCAACAACGCCCAAAATAAGGATAACTAAGAAAGTCTTCATTCTGCTATGTCTGTCTTTACGAACCTCTTGGTACTGATGACAGATGTTTTCGAAAAGTTCCTTAAATAGCAAACTTGTTGACTATTATTTAGCATAGCGAAAATACGATTATTTGCCTTAGGATCAAACGTGTGTTTGAACAGGAACCCTCCAAGTTGATTTTAGTTTGTGTACGGATTTAGTTTTATTTTCGAGGATTTGCACTAAGTATATCGAAAAATATGTACTCTATTATATCATCACCAAATTAGTACCAGAATCACACCATAACCATATAAAATTTGATCAAAATTAAATATATGGGGTGTCTAGAACTATGATAAAAAATTTATGAAACTCACAAAAATGGTACAATTTTGTTAGTAAAATGGTAGAGATTTTTTGCCGTAATAGCTTGATTTTCGAAAACAGCAACTGAACCACGAAAATATTTTTCAATTTTTTTTACTACGAATAGTAATTTTCTTGTAGTGGACTTTTCAATATATATTTTTGCGCGGAACTTTTGGTTTTTCCTTTGTAACTCAAAATTATTATAGTAAAAATTTGAAATTAAACTAAAATTATGTATGTCCTGTTTTCAAAGCTTTTTTGCTGAACCCTAATCTGAAGTAATTTAACAGCCAGTTATGAGAAAAAATAGATACC